CCCTCCCTCCCTCCCTCCCTCCCCCCCCTGCGCCCCCCCCCCGCCCCCCGTCTCCTGCTTGCCCGCAGATCGAAGTCCTGAAAGAGCTGTTCCCGTCGCTGGACCCGGTGCTCCTCGTGGAGGGGGCTCCGATGTTGCTGGCGCTGAGCGAGAAAACCCTCAGGGTCAAGCGAGATGCCTGGAGGAGCATCGTGGAGGACAGGGTGGACGTCCCTTGGGAGCAGGTCCGTTGTATCGTTCTCTCTCTTTTGCGACGTGGCAATAGTGGACGGCGTTGGAGCAACACAGAGAGACGCGTTCAACAGGACACCGTGCCATGTGGTCTTTAAAGTCGGCACGTTCATGAAGATTGACAAGAAGCTTGTAACGGCTTCCAATACGAACAGCTTCGGGGGGTGTTGCAGCGTTACCACTCGATGAAAGGGCCCCTTTGTCTTTTGTATCCATGCCATGACCTTTTCTTCAGGCCGCACGATAGTCATTAGAGTCTTGCTGCACCTGTCGCTCCATGCCATGAGAACCTCCCCCCCCTGCCCTCCTCACTGCCCCCCTCCGCCACTGCCTGATCTTCTCGACTGTCTCCTTCACCCACAGGTCGTCGCCGATTTCCCGCAGTTGCTCTGCCAGGGGTTTGGTAGGGCTGCGCGCGTCCCGTTCCTCCTCCTCGACGACCCGCCTACGGCTGCATCAGCGGCGACAATGGCCGTGTCTTGTGCCCCCCCAGGGGACGATGGCGAGAGGGTAGTGACGACGGCGGTGGCGATGGTGGCGGCCGGGGGGCTCGGGGATGAGGTCCTGCGTGCCACCCATGCCCCCGGTGTTGCTTCGGACGGCGTTGCCGCTGGCGATGGCGTTGGAGCCGCCGCCGCCGCCGCCGCCGGAGGCGACAGCTGGCGTAGCGGCGTTGGGAAGGAGAGGAGTGCCGGTGGTGGTGTTGACGGGGGCAGCGGCGTGGCGCCGAGGACAATGTCGGCAGCGGCTGCCTGCCGCGAAGTCTGCAGACGCGTGTCGGACTTCGAGAGCGATCACCCGGGCTACCCGTGTTTCCTGGACTCTTTGCTTGTCGCCGCTGCTGGGCACAGAGCTGCGGGTGACAGCGGTGGTGGTGGTGGTGGTGGTAGTTGCGCTAGTCGTAGTGTCGCCAGAGTTGAGGAGGAGAGGGAAGGTGTGGTGGTCGGTTCCTCGCCCCCCGTGACGATGTCGCTCGGTAGAGGCGGCGATGGTGTTGCCCCTGCCGTTCGAGGAGTCCAGGGAGCTGTGACCGGGAGCCAGCGGCAGCAGCGATATCGGTGGCAGCAGCAGCAGCAGCAGCAGCAGCAGCAGCAGCAGCAGCAGCAGCCCCGACATCATTGGCGACCAAGAGCGGCTAGCGTTGGCGGGGCTGCTGCTATTGCTCGCGAGGAACAAGCAGCAGATCCGGCTGTTTCACGTAGAGCAGGCTCCGGAGCTGCTGCTGCTGCTGCTGCTGCTTTTGATTCCGGCGGGGAGCAGCAGCAGTGGTCGTCGAGGGACCACTCTTCACGACCGCCACCACAGCCTGTACCCATCCCATTACCCTCAACTCCCCTTCCTCCGTCAGCACCATCCGCCGGCGAGGCCAGGGTCGCCGTCAAGAGCGAGAAGGCCCTCGGTGCCGCTATGGCGGAGGTCGCGAGAGGGCCGGGTGGGGGCGCGGCGGCCGCCGCCATGTTGATTCCCCCGGAGGCTGAAATGCAGGACAATAGCGGTCGGTCGGGGTTACCGTGACGATACTTGGCTCCGAAACGCAAGGTTATTTGGGTCGACATGTGCGAGTTTTTGAATCGTATAGACGTGGGGTGTGCATGGGGTTGGTAGGGTAGGCAGTGAAAAAATCCTAGGAGAGGAAGCCGTAAGCGATAGATGATACTATTTTCGTGTATTTCTGATCACCCCCTGTTTTTAAAAGTTTATTGGAGGCTCACGTGCAGAGAAGTATTGAGGAAGGACGATGGAAGTGAGGGCTCGTGGAAGTGTCTCACAGCAGTGGTTGTTGGTTGAAGGTGGTGTATTGGGTGTAATATACAAGCAGCTGGGAGGTGGAGTGAGAGGGGTCACATTGCGCGAGTGGGTATGCGGAATTTTTTCTCGTGCCTGCCGAGGTTTCGTGTGGGCGTTTTCCTTACGAAATGGTAGGCGAGGCGTTTGGCGAGAGCGGGGGCAAATGCTTTGTCAGGATCTGGGTACATACGGACTTTATTCTTAAGAGCCGTCAGCTGTAATAGTCGACTTGGTTCCCTTCTCGCACGCACTTTTCTGAGACCGAAAATAACACACATCTTCCCGCGAACGGCACACCATGAGTTCCCTGCAACAACAAAGAATATTTTTCATTGAACATAGACTTTAGACTATGGCGCTCCCCAAGAAACCAACACTGCTGTCGTACATAGGAATCCCTGAAGACGGTGGTGGTGACCTGAACTTTTTACATTTTCATGTTTTGTCCACATAAAAACTGCGGTAATCGTGTGCACCAGTGCTCATTGGCTAACGTGATGAACATTGGACCCTATCCGCATCTGTTTTCCCCATCACTCGCAGCCGAATCAAAGGAGGAGACAGGGATCAGAGTACGTCGGGACAGTAACAACGTTGACTATTTCTGTGACATGTCGTGAGCATTCATGTTCGCATCTACTTTCCCGTCACTAGCAGTGGAATCAAGGGAGGAGAGAAGGAAGAGAGTACGTCGGGACAACGCTGACACATTGTGAGGTATCTTGTACATTCGTTAGTGAGTTGTACCAGCAGTTGTTGTTGTTGTTGTTTCTCACATTAGCTCTAAAAAAAAAAAAAGATGCCCGTGGTCTCAAAACCCGGCATACACGACCCCACGAAGAAACGGAAAAAAATAGGGTACAAAAACCACTCGGAAGAGAAACAAAATGATAGAAAGAAAGACCAGCTACCGCACCAAACGAGAAAGAGCGTCGAGGAGACCGATCAAAATAAAATAAAAGGAGAACGGGGAACGCTTCCCACACCCGCCTACAACGCCGGAGGGTTCCGTGCCGGGTTCCCGCCGACCAGGCATTGTTGGTGCCTAGATATACGAAGAGCATTCGAGTTGAGGGGAGATTGTCTGCTTACGTCGCCACCGTCAAGTGCAGACTACTGTAGTAGAGACTAGCGTACGCTGAAAAGGATCCACCGATGTGAGTTGGATCGACTCTTGATGGTGCATGGGATGGGCACGTGTGGATGTGGGGGAAATCCAAAGGTATCTAGAGAGGGAGTATTTTTTTTTCCATCTACTGCACCTTTTGGAAGATCTTTTGTGGAATGACCCGCACCCTCCCCTTTCTTGTCCCGTTTCACGGAACCCCCAGGACAGAGAATTGCGCCGCATTTTCTGTCCCGGAGCACGGGGCGTTCTACACCTCTCCTCTGCTCTCTGCTCCCCTACTGCGCGGCGGCGATGGCCTCGTCTAGCCGAACCTGCCGCCCCTTGCCAGCGTTGAAGATGCTTGCACGAGGAAGATGGCTTGCCTCGGGCAATATGCGAGCCGATGACCGCCATGTTGTCCCGCTGGCAGCACGTGCCCTCGGTGAGTATTTGCTTCGACTCGGCGAATGGTTTTTAGATATCGTATCACAGGCCGCACGCAAGGCTGCGGCTTCTAGTCCTGCTGTCCTGCTGCGGGTGCGTCAAATGCGCATCTCCTTATGGTGCCTTGTGACCGTGCATCAAAATAACATTCGCAGCTTCAGAATATCGAAACTGAAGCCAGCAAGCGAATTCCTGCCGCAGCGCCAGCACTGGTTCTAACGCCGGCGCCCTCTCCGCCTTGTGCTTCCGCGCCACCGTGCGCTCTTCCCGCTCCGGACCAAAAATTCACACGCACAAAAGTGTCCTATAATCATGCGTCGCAGCCAAGAGCAAAGGCGCCATCATCAGTAGCAGTAGGCTGTGCTGCTGCCTGGCAACAAGCCCTCTCGACGTCTGCTGTGGGCGATGGCGAGGACGTCGGCCAGAAGGGCAACAACAACCGCAGGGAGGATGGTGGTGGTGGCAAGGCAAGAGCCGACGGGGCAGTTGCAGCAGAGCGAAGAGACGGCAGCGCTTCGGGGGCAACGGCGGCGGTGGCGGAGGGGGTCCCGCTCGATGCGCGTGGGATGCGGCCGAAGCAGCGGGTGGACGTGGAGCTTGGGACCTTTCACGAGTTCACCGCGGTCAACAAGACTGGCGGGTGAGAGGAGAAAGGAATGCCGCAACGCTGCTGTAAAAAGATTGAAAGGGGGGTCCGCGTGGGGCTGCTGCGAATTCGTTACACAGTGGTTCGCTGGGCGATTTGAGGCGTGTAGGTTGGTTTCGGAAAAATCGACAACAGCAACAAGTAGCAGCAGCAGCAGGAGGAGGAGGGTTGTTAAGAGAACCGTCGTTTCGTGGCCGGGCGATAACGCGCACGACGTGTCTCGTCTGGTCTTGGTTGCGCAGTTTAAGGTATACTCTTGCAACGTCGTGTACAACGGCGCCTTTCTTGTCGTTCATAACCTGAGTGTTTCGAGGTGTTTCAACCGGGGCATCGAGAGCCACAGCAGTGATGGCTTTGAAACCCCGATGGTACCCTTGCGCCGCACGCTGCTCCCGCAGCAGCAGCAGCACTAGCAGCAGCACCCGCCGCCGCTTCTGCAGCTGCTGGCCGCTACGACGGTGACGACGACAAGGACCACCATGCCTTCATCTCCATGCCCTCCCTCCCTCTCCGCGCCGCCCCTCTCTCGGCCACGCCCCACCTGCCCGCAAACAATCCATGCAGAAAGATCTTCGAAGCCAGCCGCGAGCTCATCCCAGAGAAAGACGCCGAGTTCTTCCCGGCGATGGAGGTGTCCAACCTCGCCAGCGACGCCAGCGACGCGGCCGCGTCTGAAGTGGACTTCCTCTCGCGAGTGCTGGCGGGGCGCGTGACGATGGTCGGGCTTTTCCACCGGCAGTTCGGGTACAGCATGCTGGAGAGCTGGACAGGGCCGTTCGAGAAGGCCTTTGCACGGGGGCAACGCGGTGAGAGAGAGAGGGAGGGGGGTGCCGTAGTCGTTAGACAAGTGACGATCGTTTCCCTACAAACCCGGGACGAAGCACGCCGGGATCTCACCGGACCGAGCTCGCGCGTTTCGAAGCGCGAAGCGCCGTGAGGTATTGACGAGTCGCATGATGTGTCATGTGAACCGTGTGTTTGTCGCAGTTTTCCTCTCGATAGGTTTTGGTACACACAGCATGCCGATCATCGCGACTAGCATTAGAACCAAGGCCACTACAACCTTTTACAGCTGGCCAGCTACCGTAGTAAGCTGCCTCTTTCGGGGGGGGGGGGGGCAC